TGGACTCGATGGGCTGAATGGCCTGCTTCTGGATTGTAGAATTCTATGATTAACTATCACCGGTAAATCACCCTTGCAGCCAATTAGAAATCTGCATGTGAAGCCCAGTATGGGCATTACAAACCATAAAGTTAAGGGGTGTAGGGAGAGCCAGAAGGGGCTAAATCAAAATGGAGTTGGAAGGGGAAATAAAGTACTGTAACCCCGCAGTGCCTACCTCTCTGCAAAGGCATCAAGAGCATTAATGGAGACCACACGCTTCCTCTTCAATGACATCAGGGCCTGGGACAGACAGTTTGGGTCTACTTCATCTTTCTTTCTTTCAGAAATGTTACTACATACTCTGGAGCAGGTGGAACACTACACCGAGTCACAAGAGGCCCCTCCTGTTTCCCTTCTATATTTTTCCATTTTTTTTCTCTTTTTCCCCAAACCACCCATGGTTATGTTTTTGCATTATAGTGAGATAGAAAAATGAAGACACTGTCATGTCAAGCTAGGGCTAGGGCATTGCCTGTTACTAAAAGTCATACTCAACAAGCTGTGTGAGGAGTTTAATTAGTGATTCCCCATGGGCCTTGTAGGTGTTATCACAACTTGAAAGTATTATGGAATCAGAGACCTTTTGCATTTAAAAGATATGCACTTAAAGTGCCTTAATCAAGAAGGCTGCAAACCAGGAATTGGAGAATAGAATAAGGCCGGATTGTCTTGTTTCAGCCAGCATGGCGTTGATGCGTTGAATGGTGTCCTGTGACTTAAACTTGTTATTTTGCTATGTACTTATTCTATTTTATTGAGAAAGTATGAACAATCTGGCATATCAATATTAATTCATTGACCATACCGTCCTTCCTCAATGACTCTCCACTATCTTCCAGCTGGTTGGGGCTGCACTCACCTGCTGAAAAGCGCCAGGATGATGTTTACGTTCCAGGATGATTCTAACTCATTTTGGCAGGTAAGAACAGTATGCAGTACTGCTTTATGTGGTCCGTCTGGGGAAATGCAACAAAGTTGCAGCCACACAGGATGTCATTTCTGATTTTCTGAGCGGGTTGTGACAGGATAAGAATTGTAGCGATTCAACTATGGAGCCATTCTTGAACTGGCCACTAGGAGTTGCCATTTCAGATACTGTGTGCTCTTATAAACTGAACAATAATGGTTCAGACAGCCCCTCGTGGGGCACTGTAAAAAGAAACCAAAATATTACTGAAACTTACTAATGACAACAAAAACCTATGGTATTTAAAAAGTAATATTGCAAGCATGATGATACACCTCAGCGTCCACCAACGCACGGATTACTAAAGGCGTGTACTGCGCCGGTGGACTATGCTTGCTCTCTCAATGAACACCCGAGTGCAGACATAACCGTGGAAGAGAAGCAGATAGTCGGATGCTACAATTACTTCCACAGCCCGCTACCTGGAACTATTGATGGTTATATTGGCCAGGTCCAGAAGCAGGCCCACCATTCCAGATCTATACTTATACTCAGGAACAAAAACAAAGTTGCTGGAAAAGCTCAGCAGGTCTGGCAGCATCTGTGAAGGAGAAAACAGAGTTAACGTTTCGGGTCCGGTGACCCTTCCTCAGAACAGAATATATTTATACTGTTTTTTTACTTCTGTTTGCTGACTTAAGTACATTAGCTCAGTTAGCTGGACAGCTGGTTTGCAATGCAGAGTGATACTAACAACATGTGTTCAATTTCTGTAACAGCTGAGGATTCCTGTGAAGGGCTCTACTCGATCTCTCCCCTTGGTCTGAGGTATGGTGACTCTCAGGTAAAACCACCACCAGTCACCCCTCTCTCTCTCTTCCCCCTGTACCCAATGGTGACTTGATCTTTATGTACCCTGCTTTGAAGTGTACTGAGATTTCCAAGATCCCTGTGTCAGCTACAGTAATTAGAATATTTCAGATTTTGCATTTAACCAAAATGTAAGTAAAGCTTTTGTTGCAAAGTCTTCTTGTGGAAAAACAGTAGAGATGTTATTGCTGATCTGGATTCCTGAGTCCAGCATTAATTCTGGTCAACAATTTCCATTTGTTTCATGCAAATCTGTTTATTTAAAATAAAATATGACATTATTTACAATAGATATCGTTGTCATATACATCATGGTATCATTTTAAAACTGACAAACACACAGCTGATCCTATTGAGATGAGGTTCTAGTTACTCAGTACATTCCCTTTTGGCACCAAACTGGTGTCTTCTAGACACCACATTGGCCTGTTATATGATGTAGTGGTCATAGCAACAAGTAAGTTAATATATCGTGTCACAGAGTATTGAGATAAAGATTGAATCTGTTCACTACTGTATCTCAGTCATGGTATTTCTGAGGAAGGGGAAATCAAAAGAACAGATATTAAAGAGAATTACCCCAAACCACCACTGAATAGTTATTGATTAGCAACAAGAGTAGTATTTCTCTGATCTTCCAGTGTTCTCTAATTTCTCTCCATGACATTTTTCCTCTTTTATAAACTGTTTTTTTTAAACTCTTCTTTCATCACTTATGTGAGGAGTTCCTGGATTTTCTTTGACATTGAGACCATCCAATTAATTGCCTCTGCCACATCTCTCAATTACCCTTGCCCACCCAGCCAATCTTCCTGTAGAGTTCATCCCTCCTCTAATGCCATTAGATCATTGTTTGGTTCTTTCTATCACCCCTCATGGACTCACTTAGTTCCTCTTCTCGACAAGCCTCAACACCTGCTCTTTCAACCGTATTTCCATTAAATCGCTGACCGCTCAATTCCTGTTAGCTTTCATATTAACAGGTCTCTCTCTTCTTCAAATATGCCATCATCATTCGTCATTTTACACTACGGCCCCATGTCCCACTCACATTGGTTTTCCCAATTACGAATTCCAAACCTCTCACAAGATACTGTCTTTAGCTGAACCCCGCTGTTCAAAATTTAAGTGACATATTTGATGCTGATACGTATTTCAACTAAATATCTAAATCATTACTAAGACCTTTTATTTCAACTCCTGTAATTTTGAATGAATCTGCCTCTGCTGAATTTCCCCATTCACACCTTTGTTCTCTTTATACTTGCATACATACTAGTTGTAGTTGTTGACCTATTTGCATGTAGACTTTGACAAGAATGAGAACACTATTGTACTCCAATGTCCCCTCTCATTGTCAGCTCATTGAGATTTCCCTTGCTTGATTCCTTTCTTACGCTTCCATTCATAACCAGAACATTTCCAGCTATTCTCCCCCTGACATCCCCAGGAGTACTCCATGTACTTTTCCCTAAACCACCTCCTCTTTATCCAAATTCTGCCTCTTGGTAAATTATCTGAAGAAATGGGATCAATTTCCACATGTTAACTGATGATACCAAACGAGGCCATCTCTTCTGTCAGGTCTTTTGCTTACTGTGTGCTGTCAGATTACTTAACCAACATCCTGTCTTGGTCAAACCAACATTTCCTCCAGCTAATCATTGGGAAGGCAGATAACTTTGTAATCAGCTCCTGCCACAGATTCAGTCTCATAGACTCTGATTCCATCCTCTAGTCCTTAGAGTAGAATGAAGATTAGTGTTCACAATCATCGTGTCTTATTTGACACCAAACCCAGCTCTCCATCACAAAGATTTCCATTTGTTAAATCATCTGCTTCTGCCTCTGCCCATCTATACTGAAGTTCACATCAATGTTTTATCACTTCCAGACTATTTCAATACAACCTGTTAAGAACTAAAGTTAATTGATGCAGTGGTCATAACGACAAGAAAGTTAATATTATCATGTCACTATTCTACCTCCATGCTCTGTAAACGTTAGCTTTGATAAATCAATGTTACCTATCGCCCGTTCTCTGCCAATACCAGTTCATCCATTATTCTTTCTTGCGAATCTACTTTTGCTTTCAGTACCCACTGCCTCATGTAAAATATGTAATGTATGGTGGAATTCTTTCAGGTCTTTCCCCACCCTATTTGTGGAGTCTCTAAATCTACAACCCCCGAAAATCATTCATGCCTCCAAATTTACCCTCTTTTACGCGTCTGAGACAGGTTCACCGGACCCGAAACGTTAAATCTGATTTTCTCTTCACAGATGCTGCCCAGACCTGCTGAGGCCTTTTCCAGCAACTTCTGTTTTTGTTCCAGATTTACAGCATCCGCAGTTCTTTTGGTTTTTATTTACCCTGTTCCCTTTGTCCCAACACTGGTGGCCAGTCCTTCAGCCGAGCTCTTAAATTCTGATTTCTCTCCTAATTCCCTCGCTTATTTTTTTTCATTAAAGGCGTTCCTTTAATATCTCTGCACAAGCTTTCTGTCAACTCTGCCAGCATCTTGTTTATCGGATTACATTTATGTGCGGTGTTACTTCAATCCAGGCACTATATGTACGCATATTGTCTATGGTGGTTTCCAAAAAAGCAGTAAAAATTTCAATCTCATTAAAACGTAATTTTATACTTTAAATTATTTATTGCTGGCGATTATCCAAATTACATTCCATCCATATTCCGAGAAAATTCAGGGTAGAGAGAGCTGAAAGATTTTACAGATCGATTTCAGAGTTGGGTAGCTTTAGACAGGGCGATAGGACATCTAACCACAAAATCTCCTGCAAATCACAACAACACCGATCCTTCCATTGCTTTTTAAGAAAGAAGTATTGTAATAACCCGAACGACAAACGGATAGGGTTAACCAAAACGCGACATCTTTATAAAATGAATAGAACACTTTTTTAGAAGTAGCTTGCGCATCTTAAAAGTACACATCAAAGCAGCAAAGTTACAATTCAGTGGAATATGTCTATATGTATGTGTGTTTGTGTTAGGGTCGGGGGCAGGAGGGAGATGTTTGAGCCGGCAAGGTAAAGTTTTCAGAATGGCTTTGGTCAGTTCACTGACAGCTTCCCATCAGTCCAAACTCCCATGCCCCTCTCAGTCTCCCCCTCTATTGGCGGAAGTGGTCACATTTGGTGAGTGTGGTTTTACAGATCCACTCCTTGGTCCCAGATTGCACTGCGAGGGTGTGGACCCTTTGCTTTTTGTGTGTGTGTGTGTGTGTTGTATGTGTAAGTCCTGATGGCGCTGGGAGGACCTGGAACTCGGAAGAAAGGTGTGCCGAGTGAACTGAAGCGTTCCCCGTGCCCGGACAACATGCGGTGGAGCTTGCGGCTCGCCTTGCTCGGCTGCCTGCTCCTGCAATGCCGGGCAGCCATGGACGAATGCTACGATGAAACTTCACGGGCTCAGCGTTGCATGCCCGAGTTCGTCAATGCCGCTTTCAACGTGACCGTGGTGGCCAGCAACACTTGCGGCTCCCCCCCAGAAGAATATTGCGTTCAGACCGGGGTGACTGGGGTCACCAAGTCTTGCCACATTTGCGACTCCAGTGACCCTCGGCTCCACCACGACGCCGTCTATCTGACCGATTACAATAACCAAGCCGATACCACTTGGTGGCAAAGTCAGACGATGCTTTCTGGGATCCAGTACCCTAATTCTATCAGCCTGACTTTGCACTTGGGTGAGTGAGCCTTCAAAGTTTTCCCCGTATCTTTCATGCAGTCAACAGTTTTCACTTCCATTGCATCTTATGTGAAAAGTGAATCAGACTTCAGAAGCTGATTTTGTTGTTACAGAACTTCGAACAGTTCCTTTTAAAGGTGTCGGTTACACATTTAAGCAGTCCGTTGGACGATGTGTTGGAAATGTTTGGAAAACATATTGTATGGTGTGGTGTGGTTTCCATTCAGACAACAGCGATCATTGGTAACGTGTGGATTCCCCACCCCTCCAAATCTAAGTCCATGTCGCGTTGTAATAGCAAGGAAGTGGTATTTAAACGCTACACTTTAGACAACAGATTTAAAAAAAACTAAGGTATTGTTTTTGCTTTTTCTTGAGAAAAATTGTAGTGTGAACCGGCCAATTGATCGGGGTTGAAGTTTGAAGCGAATGGAGAGATCGGAAGGAATCAATCTGTAACACGTTCAGTTTGAAACATCCAAAGTATATTGAGGCTGCCACTACTTCCCCAGATCCCAGAAATAACATTCCGTGCGATAGGGCGAACTATCTTCCCGACCTGCTGAGCGAGCGGAGTTAGTGCCCTCAGGATACATTTTAATCAACCTCGCAGCTGCAAAGAAGTAGCTTTGGGGGTTGGTTAACACCTACACGAGGTAGCCAAGAAGAAATGCTTGTTCTGTCTCTTTTTTTTTATTCCTTTACTGCTCCAAGATGGCGCAGTTTTGTGAACTCCATTAGGCAGCGAGTTTTAGCCGCAATCAGATGTGGATGGGAAGAAGGGGGAAATACTGAGTAGGAGCCGTCCGATAGGACGAGCCGGGACAGGATACGAGGGAGAAGTCACTGGCATTTTATTCCAGGGAGTGCCAATTGATTGTGCTTTGCATGTTAATGAGAACGGCACTGATCAGAGGAAGTTGTTGCGAGAGGGGAGGGGGATTCTATCTTCCTAAAACAGAACAAGCAATGCATTTAGGTGATTGCGAGCACCATCAGTGTAGTATTTGAAGTTTTACTCGGTAGGATTGCAGGAGATGGGCACAGTCGCTTGGTTTTTAGGTTTTCAGCCTTTCAGCTGGTGGTCGTGCACTTTCCCAGGAGCGGTCCCCCTTCGCTTCAGTCTTAATCTTTGACAGATTGTTCCTTAGCGTCAATTTGATTTCTGCGAAAAGCACGAGCTGTGAATTTGTGTATCTTTTTCTCACTTGTAAAACTGTGAGGAAGGAAAGACTAAGTCGGGCGAGTTTGTATGCAGACATCTGTTACGGACAGAGCATTTTACATTTCTCAGTTTTAAAAATGGAGAAATAAAATGTTCTGTTTGATACAGCGTAACCTGATTGGAGTAAGGTGGGATGTGTTAAAGGAGATAATTGCCTGTTATGTGGGCTCACAGGAAGCTGTCTGCTTTCAGGCAATCGTTTTGTTGTACCGTCTGCAGTTAACTTTTTTTAAAACCCTGTGGTAAAACAACTTCTAGCGAGTGGGTTAGGCTTAGGATATTCAATAGTGGATAAATGAGAAAAATCGTGCCATGTTCTGTGAGATCTAAATAGACATTTTATTGATTGGTCAGAATGGTGTAATTCAGCTAATTCAGTAATTACAAAGTAGCTTAATTAAACTCTGCTCAGCAATCGTTGCATTTCACTTTGTCCTTTAACCATATTGTCACTCGTGCACATATTTTAAAAAGTGGACTGATTACTTCATCCCTCACACCACTGTATCTTTTGTATAACTTCAGCTTCTGGATTGGTTTTTAATTTGCCAGTCAGTCTTTCTTTGGTGTTTTCTTTAAAAGCAAATAGTTCTTGGATTACATACAAATAGACAACGAATATCTGGAATATAGGAAATAATCTGGCAGTGTATGAGGCAAACTGTGCTGTGCAGAGATTCATGGCTCTCACCTGAGGCTTCTGGGGTACCTAAGAATGTTGTTTGGGAAAGATGAATCAATTCTTGTAAGAGAACTGGGAGTAAAATCAATTGGGTCACCTCTTGCATCTTTTCCTCTGGCTGTTAACCTGCAGGAAGGTAATGTGTAATGTTAAGATTCGGAAAGGAGTAAACTTGCTAAGAAAAATGACAGTGAGATAGCATTGAGGCTGAAGAAACCCTTATTGCTTAGAAAACTAGTTTTAATAAATGTGAGAAAATTATACATGAACTGTGGAAAATTAAGCTTGATTATGGGGTTTCACATTAAATTAGATGTTTATTTCAATTGTACTGACTGCCTGCAGTGTTTTGACTAGTTTGCCCTGTTGTAAGCAAGAAATGATCGGGTTTGGTGCCAAATTTATTTTGAGGTCAGCTAGTGCAGCTTTGGAGGACTATCTTCATTTCATTGCAAGGATCTCTTATGAGTTCTTTACCTCCATGTAGGACTTTTAAATATTGCAGCTCTTGGGAAAGTCAGCATTCTCCAATTATTGGCTCAGTCCCCTTCCTGCCAAATCTTATTTGATTCCCCTCCCACACAGTCTGCCAAACTTAGCTCTGCAGTTGGTAGATAGGAGCAATTCTAAAATTTCTCAACTATTTTCTGGTTAGTTAAGTAACAACAGATTTACTGGGTGACTGATGTTTGGTAAATGTGTCGTTTATTCTGCATAAAATAGATGTGCTGCTGTACAAGTTACTAAAGGCACACTCTCAAAACTATGATGTGTCATGGAAATTCAAAAATTCCTTCAGGTTCCGTAAATATGGCTTTATTTGGTTTCTTTTATTACAATAGTAACTACACTTCAAAAGTAAGTCTCAGAATTCTGTAAAGGTCTGTTTTTGATGCATTTCAGATGTTGCAGTTCGTGAATTTTAAGTGCCCTGTTTATCTATAGGTGTAATATGTTTAGCAGAAGTCTATATTAGGGAAATACAGTGTAGTTGTAAGAGGTCACTGCCTTTTAATTCAAGCCATTTTACAAAGGCATTTTATGCACCATTACATATGTTCGACATGGACTGGTTGGACGGAAGGGTCTGTTTCTGTACTGTATGACTGTGTGGAGCTTTTTGTGTAGAATACAGTTTGGAGTTCAAGAAGTCATCTGGGTTGTTTGCTCAAATTTATCATAATTTGAAAGTTGATTTACTACTTGATGTGGTTCTGTAGCACTGATTTTAATTTTATGCATTTATTCTGATTATGGTCAGGAATAATATTTGGCAAAAGTGGAATTTCATTTGTAAGACTTTACTAAGCATTTACTTTTAAAATAAACAACAAAAGACTTCTTCATTGCTTCAGGCACAGAGAACACCTCTAGAAATTGGCAAATAACTTTGGATTCTTTCTGTAATAGATTTACTTTTCAACTAGGCTAAATTCACTTTTGTCCATTCAATACAAGCAGTGTAATTAAGATTACATGAGTGTACCCTACTATGAAGTCCTAGTTAATGAAAGTTTTCTTGCTGAAAGAATGATTAGCCAGTACAATTTGTGAGGTAAGTAACAACAACTTACTTTATTACTTTGACAATGCTATACAAATATCAGACTCCTGAGATAACGGCCAGACATAGAACTTGGCTACAGTAGGAGACTCAGAGGAGATTGGAAATGCTCCAGGAATGTCCTCCAAACATCTCAGCTAACTTATGGGAGTCCCTGACAAAAATGGAGGAAGCATAAAGAGGCTTGTTGGGAATGTACAGAGGTGTGAAGACATGAGAGCAAATACATCTCTCGTACAACTTGCCTAGCCAAGCCTTTAATGCTTCACCAAATTCACATGTGGCATAATCTGCAGATGACTCATTGGACATGCTAGCCATCTCAGAACCTATTGAACTGGAATGGAATCAATTCATCTCGATCCCAATGGACTGCCTAAGAAGAACATGATATCTTAAAGTCCTCCTATATGAGCGTTATAAAAGAAATGACACTGGGCCACATAGGGAAAGATTTGAGATGACTAAAAGCTTGGTCAAAGAAGTAGGCTTTAAGGGTTGTCTTAAGGGTGAAGAGATATGGAATCATAGAATGGTTACAGCACAGCAAGAGAACATTTGGCCCATCGTCTCTTTTGAGAACAACTCAGCTAGTTCAGTGTCTACTTTTTCCATTTACATATGTAAATCATTACTCCTCAGATAATTGTGAAATTTCCTTTTGATAGCCACAATTGTATCTATTGCTACCACGCTATCGGGTATTACAATCCAAAGCCACTTTGTACTGTATAGTACTTTGTTCTACTTATTTATGAAAATACATTTGTTCCAACTATGATTTCTTGATTTCATAAATGGCTACAGGCCACCACCTTACTCCAAAGCTGTCCGAGGTCCAAACGGCATGCTGAAGTACCCCCCTCCACTGTGGACTGGACCTGGAATGCCAGCTGTGCCAAAGTCGCCTTGCTGCCGTCCATACTCCAGCCGCTGCCATAATCAGGAGACTGTCCCAACTCTTGAGGATCCGAGCCTGTTCTTAACTTCCAAAGACCCACATACTGGGATTTTCCAATTGGTTACCACAGACGGGGGTGGTGGGGACAGCTTAGCTATTTGGTGGGCTGCTTTTTTTTGAGTTTGAGGGACTACTTTCTCACGTTGGAGTGAACAGTTCAGTATACTTATCTCCTTCAGTTCCTTGATATTTTTTCTCAAATTTGGATTTAAATGCAATTCCAAATTTACAACAAATTTAAATTAGATTCGTCTCGCATTGTATTAAATATTTGGAATTTAACAGAAACCATAGGACTACGGAGAAAAAGCTGGCTACAAAATCTAAATGAGCATATTAATACGGCGAATGAGATTGTGTTGTAATCTAATCCAGAATTACGTTTGTATGATAAATGAGCTTCATTGACAATTTAAGATGCAAGTTCCCTTAGTCTGCAGGAAAAATAATATCCTTGCAGTTTTATTCTAATTTATGACACCTTGCTTAAAATGTCAGCTCAAAGTACCAAGTTAATAAGCAGAACTGAAGAAAATAACCATTATAATGCTGTACCAACACCACCA